AGCGTTGTGTTTTTAGTAGAACTCTAGCTGAATCCATCCTTTGTGATGGCGGCCACAGGCCTAATGATACCATACCCCTTTTATCAAGTCAGATCATTCTGCTGCCTCATCCACATCGTCGTGATATTCGTCATCGACTTCTTCTTCCAACATTTTGTCAGCGTACTCGGCTTCGTACAGGTTCTGCCTCTCGTCCCGCACGTGTTGCCACATCTGCTGCCTCATCTGCACCAGCGCATCAATGCATTCTTGTCTCCTGAACTCGTGCGTAGGCCATCCGTTCTCGAGGTAGATCTTCCGCGCCAGCTGCACTTGTTAGCACTGTCTGCGGCCATGGCCAGAAATCTTCTCACCTCAATCTCCAGATCCAGCGCCCCGCGCACATTCTCCTCCTCCCTCGCCGCGATGCCGCCCCAAATCTCAGGCCCGTAGACGTCTTCGTCATACATGCCCTCGAGTCTCCCCAGGTCCGGCATAGGCACTAGATCTAGCGTGACGAGTCGATGGACCAACTTGTCAAAGAACGAAGAAATCGGCTCCGCCTTGTTGCGCAGCCAGGGCGTCGTCTTTGTCGAGCCCCTGTCAACCTGCGTCGTGGCGTTGTCGACCATAATCTCGCCTAGCGATAGTGTCAGTGCCAACGTTGGCCTCTTAATTGATGGCATACCTTTCTCCAGATCCACGAGCCACCAGTGCGAGTCTGACTCGGTCCTCGCCTTGACGACAGCAAACAATGTCCCCGGCAGGGCCGCTTTGTACGGCGAAAAGCCGAGGTCTTGCAGTTTCTTCTTTGCGAGTTTCGACGGGCTTTGCTGGAGGAGGTGGCCGTCATGGAGATATCGGATCGGGTAGCCTCGCGCGAAAACCTGCCACTGTTGATCTTCCATCTCGCCCGCCTCACGGATGTATGGCAAGTGGCGGAGCACCTCAATGGTTTCATCGTCGTACTTCACCGCGCGGAGCTTATCTTCTTGGAAGAGAGGCGTCTGCCAGCCTTCGGGGGGAGGGTAGTCGACAGCCTCGGCGGGAAGGTAGGCAGCGCGCGTGAGGAGGGTGTAGTAGCGCGTCAGACCGTCGACGAGGGCGTCACGCGCAGCCGTGGCCTCATTCTGTGCCGCGGGGGCGGGCACAGCGAGACGGACCGGGGCCTGGCCTTTGCGCGGCGCTTGGAAAGCGTGCGAGATGTTGTCTTTGGCGAGTTGCTCGCTGACGTGGTCAAACTCGGCCTCGTCAAGATCAGACCACAGCCCGGCGAGCTCGTTCGTCATGTCATCGGCCCCGCCCTTGTCTTCCAAATCAGACTCATTTGACGTCCCCTCGCTTTCAGACGAAGCTCCGGACGTGTCTTCCGGCGGCCAGTCCTCATCTGCCTCGTCATCGAACATCTCCTCTCTCGCCGCCCGGCACTCCTCAATTCTCCGCCTCCTTCTCCGGAACCAGGCCATCTCTCGCAGGAACTTGGCTCGGTTCCACACGAGAATGTTGTGTGTCCCCGTCCACCCGCACCTGATCTGCACATCCCGCAGCGCCCTCTTCACGATGTCGTCCCGTCCCCACTCGTCCGAGAACAGCGCGGGCGCCATGTCGTCTACCGGCGGCAGCGGCATGACGGTCTGATCTTTCAGTTCCCCAATCCGCATCTCGAAGAATTCCGTCGCGGAGACTGTCTCATTTGAGCTAGTCACCTCTCCTGTCGCGCAGTTCAGTGTGCAGTCTACAATTTCATCACACCTGCTGGGGTCGACGCTGGAGGCACGGGCTAGGACGATCACGTCTGGTGGTAGGTCAGGGTAATCCTTTCGCAAGGGTTCCAGGTAATTGATCGCGAGGGCCTTGACTAGAATTGGCCATTGCGATGTCTGTCCATCCGGAGCGGCGTAGGGCTCCAGGTAGGGGATGTGGCGGAGCAGAGAGATGGCTGCTTTGGAGCGAGTGGGCGGGACGGAGAGGGCGGCAAGAGGCCAGCCTCCAGCCGGCGGGTCTCGGATCGTCTCCAGGGCGAAGAGACCGGAGGAGGATAGCGTGGTGTAGTAACTCTTGAGAGCGTGGATGAAGGCATCTTTATCGGAGAAATCGGGCATGTTGGCGGCGATGTGTACTGACCTCGTCCAACCGTGGTTTCAATGGGAAGAAGTGGATCACGCTCTAAGATGTTGTTTTCTCCAGTGTGCCTCAGGCTGTGTCTTGTCGAAATGGGCAGGTCTGGATCCTGCCTCGTTATCGTCATTCTTCGACAAGGGAACCAAAATACCAAATTTCAACCTAGGCAGCAACCACCTCTCGTGCGTCTTCTTTCAGCGGGCTGTTAAAACGAGGTGCGGCGCGAATCATTATGAGGAAGCCTGCCTGGCAGCCCTGGCCTGTTGGTCCGGGGCGGCGGGGCAGAGCCAGAAATCGAAGCCAGATGAACTTGTGCCTAAATGGATGCAGCAGGGATGATCGTGAAACAAACCCGGACGTTCACCCGAAAGGTGGATTAGTTAATCCACATTGTGAGTCTCATATTCTGCCTACTGATCATCCGAGCTGAAGAGCATAAACACTCTCACTCAAACATCAATGCACACCAGGCAGCGGAGAACAGGATCCTTTTGAAATGGCATACATCGAAAAGCAGCCGTGCTCATAGAAGAATAATTACCGAATATATACAGATATCAGAACAAATGTTCAAAGTCCAGGTTCCATCACAAAAAATGTCGGGGCCTCAAGCCCTGCTATCAAAGAAGAAGACAAGCGCATCAAACGCACGCTTAGAAGCCAAGGGTCTGGCCGGCAGTGCCGTAGACACGAGCCTTGACGTTGTTCTTGCCGTAGAGGTTGTAGCTGTAGGGGATGTTGCTGCTGCCGAGGGTGCCCTTGGGCGCAGTGTTGGTGGAGGAGCCCCAAGAGATGTCGCCGACGGTGGCGTAGCCCTTCTCCTTGGAGTCGACCGAGATGATGCCGTTCTTGGTCGACTTGTCGAAGACGGTGGACTCGACGCGGACCTGGGCGCCCATGCGGGTGTTGACGGCGGAGCTGCCGACCTCGAGGTAGTAGTTGTTGTAGATGTGGACGGTACCGAAACGGACTGAGGGGTTGCGCGAGTTGACGTTGTACCAGTAGTTGTTGGCGTAGGTGACGTGAAGCTTGCCCTTGTCCTCCTTGGCGTTCGAGTCGGTGTGGCCGATAAGCGAGGCCTTGAAGTGGTCGTGGAGGAAGGTGTTGGAGACAGTCACCCAGTCGGAGCCGTGGGTGATATCGAGGAGACCGTCATAGTAGTCCTTGCCCGACTTGAGGTCGGAGGACAGGTCGCAGTGGTCAACCCAGACGTTCTTAGAGGCCTGGATACCAATGGCGTCGCCGTTGGAGTCCTTGACCTTGCTGATCTTCATGTTGCGAACGATGACGTTCTTGACCTTGTTGATGTAGAGGCCGGTCCCGACGAGCTCAGAGCCCTTCTGGCCGATGATGGTCTTGTCCGACTGGACACGCACCTTGGCACCGCCGGAGATCTTGCCCTTGACAACAATGTTGAGCTTGCCGCTCGATTCGGCAGCCTTGGTGAACTGCGCAAGGGTCGACACGGTCGTCGTGGCACCGCCCTTGCCGCCGGTGGTGCCGCCGTTGGTGCTGGCGTAACCGATGTTGCAGCTCTCGGTGACGGAGGCGCGCTTGGCAATGAGCGCAGGGCTGCCGTCCTCCTGGATGGTGGGAGTGGGCGTGGCCGTGGCGAAGCCCAGAAGGGCGAGGTTGAGAACGTTGGAGAACTTCATCGTGATGGTTTGGACTTGGTGTGGTATATCAGATAATGAGGTGATAAGGGTTTTGATAAGTATGGGAAGGATCCAGTCCGAGAGCCACACAAGAGTGAAGTTAAAGAATGTGATGTAAAGAATGTGGAAGTCAAAGAGAGACGATGTGAGATGGAGAGACAGATCAACTGTTAGATGACAGCGACACGCTGGATCTTATACGAAGCGGTCGCATGCTCTCAAAACGATCATGTCTCCTCATCGAAGGGTCCCTGTCCCGCCACCTCCACAGTGGATTGCTGTGAAATGAGAGGGCGCGTAGGTTATGATGGGCCCTTGCTATGGTCTCGGTGCATATCCGCATCTGGACGCAAGGCAGCTCTTTTTGGCCCATACCAGCTACCTTCAGCTTGGCATTTAGACGTCAATGATCAGACAACGGTTGACATGGTCCTTAAGTCAAAGTTCTTCGGCTGTTCAGCAAGTACACACGTTAGTGATCAAACATTGATATTTTCTGCCTACATCTTGATCAGCAACATATAGTCTCTTCTATTGTCCACCTCAGTCGCAATAACACCAGTACACTTTGGTGTCTAGGTACTGGTTGAAGATGGCTCCACCAAATAACCTTATGGACAACAACCTCCGACCTTCCGAAGGGTGGAGAAGTATATATTTGAAACATGGTCACTGATTCCATTTTCAGCGCTCGTGATTGAGCTTGATGTACCTCGTGTATCCTCGCTTGGTATTGACTGTGATATATCCGGATTTTCGGGCTCGGCACCTGGCAAGTGGGGCAAATCACGGAGTCGGCGCGCCAGCACGGCAATGCCGCCGAAAGAGGCTGATGGTTCTGATAATCAATTCTTGAATGCTAGACGTACTTGAAAGCAGTGGCTGACCGTACAGAAGATATCCAATATGATCTTTCTCGTCGGCGATATCTCCCTTTACATGAGAGTGGCCAGCATTGGCAGAAAGCTTGGTTTGCCCCTTTTCCGTGGCTCCAGACCTCAGGAGGCACCACCCTCGTGGCGCAACCTCTCCCATTCTCCTTGGCCCATATACCCAGGCTAGCTAGAGGTTTGAGCTCCTGCAAGGATTTACAGCCAACGGACTCGCGAATTGCATGCTTCTGTGGATGCAGCGTTGCTTGGTGTTCGCCAAGTCGAGGCCGCGTCATCCGAATGCTCGGATCGAGCCAGGGACACCGCGAAAATTCGAGCACCACGTCGCAAGGCTGCTAAATGGATATGAAAATGTCTGGTGCGTGAAAACTCATCTTGTATCCAGGATCACGGTTCACCTCGTGTCCGTCACTAGCATCGTTGACCTCGAGAATCGTATCGCGAGTTCAGACGAAGAGCCGAGTCGGCCGTGATGCCCCACCACAAGCCAATGCCAAGTTGACATCGGCATTACATACCCGGCATGGCTGAAAATGATGTCTCCTTGGAAATCTGCATTTGCGTACTGCTGATGCCCCTTGAATTTATTGCTGAGGCCTAGGCCTGTAGCCAAGTTGTCTTGGGTCTGGGCAGTAACTGACGAGCGCGAATGCTACATTGGGAACCGGGCTCTCCGAAGAATATCATCCCGTTGCCCGACAGAATCGACTGCTGGCTATCACCATGATGAGCTGATTAAGAGGTGTTCGTGTGGAAATACTTGGCTGATACACACGTTTGTAGGTCTTACCTTGGGCGACATTTTTTAAAAAGTTACGGGTTGTTTAGTAGCTACGTTGGTCACACAGGTAGCTGCCAAAGCGCTAGGTGTCGGTAGCTTTCGCAGAAGATCTTACAGAGTACATCCAACGGATAATCAAATGTAATCAGAGAGAAAGCATCGGTATACTGACCTTTTCAATCTGGCATGAATGAAGAAGACCGCGCGAAAAATGGGGTACTGTCCGCTTTCACTACGTCTGAGTTCAACCTTAAAGTGTAAGTCATGGCGCAATCACAGCTCACCTATACACCCTTTCGTAGCCTCAACGTGTGGCTTAATATTTTCAAGCCACTGTCGCACCTCAAGGCTTTTGGCTCATGAGTACAGAGCAATCGCGCACTTCTTCTGGTGCTACCCTCATGCTTGGCTGCAGAACATGCTCATAGTAAGACACAAGGTTCCCGTTCGTTTACCATGGATCCTAGGGTGTGAATATGAATCATGGATCCCGAAAATCGCAAAGAACCGGTATACAAATGTTTTCCTCAAGCAAATCATGTCATTCACTGATGTTGTCACAGTTGCTGGCCACATTTGTAAAGGAGATGAGCACCATCTGTAAGCTGGTCGTCTCGATCGTCTCATGACAAGTGTCATGTTTCTCGTCGGTAACACTCCTCATGACCACGAATGAGTCTGGTACCCTTACTAACCGCTCTATGCTCACTTAGGTCTAGCCCTTCTATGTATTAAAGTCATATCAACAGCTAACAACTATAGTCGACAAACAATAAAATCTATAGGTTATTAGGTATTTGTTATTGTTGTCGATACAAATGTTGAAGCTAGACCTAGGTCTTCGCTTGCCCTGTGGGAAGGCTGACACAATCAAGTTGTGTATGTTTATCTAGTACTGAGTTTGCCCTCTACCAACTGGCACAAGCCGCATCTCTATAAAGCCCGTAGCGAAATCTCACACGAGGCTCATCCTAAGCCTCGCCTTTCTGCTCTGGAACTAGACGAGTCATGATGATTCCTCCTCGAGTAGTATATTCGCTCCGAGTCGCGTAATCTCCGGGCAGCAGTTTCGCATCACCGTTGGCTATGAGAGCTTCCGCGAGTGTGCAACGGCCCACCTCCTCAAAACCAAGACTCTTGTACAAACCAACGGTGACGGCATTTTGTGGCTTGACCATGAGTCGCACCATGGAGCTCGAAACAGGCCTCTCCAGCTCGAGGTAACGTAGTGCCTCCAGGCAAAGCCTCTTCCCTAAGCCGTGGCCGCGGTGCTCCGGAAGGTTGTACAAGCTGAGCATCTGCCACTGCTCTGTATGCGCGTCTGGATCCGCGAGCGGCTGACCTGATTCTTCGGGCAGGTCATACTCAGCTTGGGCCAGTGGTCCGCGCAGCGTAACTTGCCCAACCCATTCGGTGATACCGGAACCGGTATGAGAACCGGCGCATATGAAGGTTTCTTTCCCCTTATCAGAAAGGCGTTGTTCCCAAACTTTGTCGCCGAAGCCTGACTCGATTTCGTACGTCGAGGAGAATGAGTCGGGAGATGTGGTCAGTGCCTTTAAGCGGAGCTTGCGATATTGAGCAGCAGAAGCCGCGAGCTGTTCGGTCTGCGAAATGCGAAAGAACGTGTACGTGTATTCGGAAGCCATGGTGTCAAGCCCAGTTGTGCGAAAAACATGTGTCATAAATGAACACGATGTCCTAAAGATACGGTGTGAAGCACTCTTGTAGCTAGAGGATCTGTTATCGGACCAGCCTAGCCAGTGAGTCAAAGGCGCTAAGAATAGCACCTACAACGAGAAGTAAGTTTTTGATTAGTAAAACCGGCCCCGTTACGATTTTGAATTAGGACTCACAAATGCTATATAAGAACGAAAAGCAAAACTCCAACGCCGGGCCCACGACAGCATCGTCAGTGCGCCGACTGATCGGTGCAAAGGTGCCTTGCGGCAATCATCATCGGGGCCAGCTCCTCCCAACGCCGGTGCCCAAGGGCTCGGCCTTGAAGTCTTCTGCCTCCAAGGTTTCCGGTGGCTCGAAGGGTGGTTCGGCCAAGCGTTCTGCTCCGGCCCGGGCCTCTGGCCGCCCGGATAAGAGGGTTCGGCCGACCCCCAAGAAGGTCGTTCGGATTACCAGTGATGGCCGGGAGGAGGACGAGCTGACCTTCAACGGTTCGGAGGCTGGTGAGGATCTGGAGTAGTTTTCCGTGCTTGGGCGGGAGTTAGGAGGAGCTGGCCCCGATGATGATTGCCGCAAGGCACCATTGCACCGATCAGTCGGCGGCTTGACGATGCTGTCGTGGGCCCGGCGCTGGATGTTTGCCTTTCTTTCTTATGTAGCATTTATCAACTGTTTGTTCGGGGACCTGGCTACTCGTCCCATCGCTTGTGCCTGTGCCTCTGGTGTTTGCGCCGGCCTCATAGGTTGCTACCTGCTAATCTCATTTCAGTGTAAGCCTGTATATAAGCACTGTGATTGACCTCAAGTTCGTGAACATAGGCCGACGCTTAAGCGCCATGACCAGGCTAGGGCCTGTTACTGAATTATGACGCTGATGTAGTGGCTTTTTTTATTTCTGAATTCATCTAAGTAGGCTATTGAGACCCCGATACTAACTTTAGTGCAGCCGTCCGGCTCCGATGTTCTTTTCCTCGGGGGCTGCTTCCTGATCATGGAAGTTCGCGCTTCTCGCAACCTTCAACCATGTCAATGTAAAGAAATTTGATTGATATATAGTATGAGGATCTAACTAGTTGTCAGTAATTTATTTACCATGCCTAGAAGGTGACAAGGCGTTATCAAGACTGTTATTTATTAGAGGAATTCTATAAATACATTAGACGTTTTAAGATAGTTGCGCTTATATAATTCAGTTCTTTTAATATGAATGTACAAATTAAACTACCTTGCCTCTACGTCTATCTATCTACCCAGTATACCTATACGCTTTACGGTGTTGATCGATCAGGTTACATCTCGTCTAGCGGTATATCGCGAACTACTACAGCAAATCTCTCTTTGATATCGTCGTAGAGGTAGGTTAGAAGGAGCTCTCTCTGGATATCTTTGGACCTGGTTCATAGTCGGAAACAGGGAGATCTAGCGTCGGTACAGGAAGGGATGATTTTGCATTACACGGCAAGCTTCGAGGCATATTTGATTGGCAATGGAAGCCCACTAACGAGTGTTTGCACAGCCGGCCATGCCGGTGCTTGCTGACCTTTCAAAAGATGCGGCCATTACACTCTGAATACTTATCTTTTTTCTTCCTTGCGGATCGACTGCTGGAATCAAGCCCTTCTGGCGAGTTCATCATTCAAAAGTCGGCTGCTATTCGCAAGCAGAGTATCGTGGATGCAATTCCTTGACAAGACCAGGGTGAACAGGATCCTCCAACACAGCTGCCTTGAACTCACCAAGCATTCCCTGACACAGAGGGAGGGGATGGAGATGGTGATTCGGAAGAATCGGAGTTAGTACAGATCCCTCATTGACTCCGAGAGCATGTTCTAGGTAAATTCCAAAGTCACCTTGGCATCAATACCACGAAGGCGGAGGAGGTGCGGTCCGGGGGCCGGAACGACGGCTCCACTTTGTGTGATGCCGGCTGACGACAAGGATGGCCCAAGTCAAGACCGGGAAGGTCGATGTAAGCTGACGCTGACAGTCTCATCGTGGCTCCACACATGAGGATGAAGGATCTCGTGGTCCGGACATGCAGATCGTTGTTTAAACATGTCCTTCGCCCTCACTTCGTTGCCTTTCTTAGGTAGCTTCGATCAAGTGTTGAGATCACATACTCCAACTCTTCAGAAGACCACCACCACCATGGAGCTGCCCATCACCCCTCTCGTCGTCACTGTCCTTCTCCTCGTTCCATTGACACTCTACATCCTCCAGAGACCAATTCCCTCCATTCCTCACGCGCCATGGGCCGTCTTGACGACGGATCTGCCAGCGCTCATAGCCCACCCGACAACGGGGTTCGCCTATCTCAAATCCCTCCCGACCACCCACCAGACGCCGCTGCGCCAAGTCTGGCTGAAGCCCTTCTCGCGTCCCTACTTGCTGCTCGCCGACTACCGCGAGGCGCGCGACATCCTCACGCGCCGCCGCGAATGGGACCGCAGCGACTACTCCATCTCCATCCTCGGCGGCGTCGCGCCGCGCCACCACATCAACCTGAAGCACGGCCCGGCATGGCGCTACCACCGCGCCCTCCTCGCCGACACAATGGCCCCGGCCTTCCTCCACGCCGTCGCCGCCCCCGAGATCTACCGCTCCGCCACGGCCCTCGTCACGCTGTGGCGCCTGAAAGCCGACCGCGCCGCCGGCGCCCCCTTTGAGGCCGGCGGCGACATCTCCCGCACCGCCCTCGACGCCGTCCTCGATTTCACCTTTGGCAAAGCCTTCCCGCACCGCACGCTGCCGGCGCAGACACGCGCCGCCGAGACGGCGGAGGCCAAGGGCGGCGGCGGCGGCGGACCCGTCGAGCGCGGACCCCGCGGCGACGCCGTCTTCCCGCAGGGCGCCATGCACGAGACGCTCGAGGCGACGCTGCACGCGGGCGAGCTCGTCGGCCGCGCGGCAGCGACGCCCTTCATTGACCTCGCGTACCGGTACTTCGCGCTGCTGCCGTCGGAGCGGCGCTTCCGCGCCCTCCAGCGCGGCTACGCGCGCGAGCAGATCCTCAGCGCCGTGGCGCGTCTCGACAAGGTACGCGGCACTTCCCACGGCGGGGACGACGACGACAGCTGGGCGCGCTCGGCCGTCGACCTGATGATGGCGCGCGAGCGCCGGCTCGCGGGCAAGGAGGGCCGCGCGCCGGTGTACGTGTCCGAGGACACGTCGGACGAGGTGTTGGGCTTCATCGTCGCGGGGCACGACACGACGGCCACGACGCTGAGCTGGGGCCTCAAGCGGCTGACGGACGCGCCGGCGGCGCAGGTCTCGCTGCGGGCGGCGCTGCGGGGGGCGCACGCCGCGGCCGCGGCCGCGGGGCGCGCGCCGACGGTGGCGGAGATTGTGGCGACGAGCGTGCCGTACCTCGACGGCGTCCTCGAGGAGATGGTGCGGCTCGGGACGCCGGTGCCGGTGCTCGAGCGGCAGTGCGACCGCGACACGACGGTGCTGGGCCGCGCTGTGCCGAAGGGGACGACCATGCTGATGCTCGCGCAGGGGCCGAGCTTGACGTCGCCGGCGCTGCGGATCCCCGAGGCGGCGAGGAGTCCGTCGGCGAGGCCGTGCGGGGAATGGGATCCCGAGGGCATGGAGCTGTTTGCGCCGGAGCGATGGCTGTCGACGGACGGTGCCGGGAACGTCGTGTTTGATCCACTTGCCGGACCGGTGCTGGGGTTCGGCGGCGGTGTTCGGGGGTGCTTTGGGCGGAAGCTGGCGTATCTGGAGATGAGGATCGTCTGTACTCTTATAGCGTGGGACTTTGAGCTTTTGGAATGTGGCGAGGAGCTTTCTGGGTATGAGGCCACGGAGGAGATTACGTACAAGCCGACGAGCTGCTACATGAAGCCGAGGAGGTGGGAAGACGCGTGACGGTTTGGACCCTTTTCAGCTTGGGTTGGTTCTTTTCCGAGCTCATCACTGTTAGCCATACAAGTACGCCGTGGTTTTGTTGCACATCCTCATGTCAGATCCATGACACACGTCTACTACAAAGCCAGTGGCAGCTTTTCCTGACCTGTGGCCTGCGCAGCTTGATTCCCTCTTGAACCGAGTTCTGCATTTTGTAGAGCTCACGTCAGGCGAAAGTGAATATACAAAGGAAAAGAACAGTGGCTTGGCATTCATCTGAACTGTGAAGTGTGCGTCTTACACGTACAACTAGGTACTCAGTATAACAACACCCAGGAAGGACTGCCCAACCATGTACAATCTCCCTCCCATTTCGCAATACTCGTCGTCCTGATCATCAGATTTCTCATCCAACATCGAGCCCTTCTGTTGTCAATTCAACGACAAAGGAACTCAAACTCCGCGAGGCGGCCGCAATCACAGTAATGACATGACACTCATATATGCGTCATGGGGTATCTACTCTCCCCCGGCCGGAACCACAAGCCGAGGAGATCGTTCATCATGCATCCAGAACACCCAGAAGCTGTTGACCACCTGCCGCCCCAAACGCCATGTCTCATGCTAAAAAAGGGGGAACCCCATGCCCGGATTCTCTCGCAACGCCTCTTGCAACATCGTACACACAACTGCCAGCTTTTTGCTTATGTTCATCAAGTCGTAATCGCGGCCGCCTTTTCCGACTCGGGCGATGTGCGGCCCTCCACATCGGTCAGTCCCTTCTGCCGCAGAATCGTATGCAGCTCGCCCATGCGCACCGGGCGCGTCAGGAACAGGTCCAGCCCGCTCGCAAATGCCTCTTTCCGCGCCTCTTCAGAGCCCAGACCTGTGATGGCGATGATAGTCGTCGGAGCAAGTTTGTTGAGACGCTCGAATTGGCGAATTCGCCGCGTTGATTCGAGGCCATCCATGACGGGCATATTGATGTCCATGAGAATACATGAAAACTTTCCGGGGTCCGCCGAGAAGGCCTCGAATGCCTCAAGTCCGTTCATTGAAGTGCAGTGCTCTCGCCCCAGCCTCTTCATAAATGTGGATAGGATCTGGACATGTTAGACGGAGCCTTCATCGAGACAGGACGTAGCAACTCACCTTGAGGTTGATAATGTTATCATCAACAATCAAAAAGTGTTTCTGGTCAGTGTCGGGGGCAGATGCAGCGCCCGTGGCATCGGCGCTCATCGCTTCTGTCTGGAGCTCTTTGACTGTTTCGACCGGGTCCTGCGCTTGGCCCGCTTCCTTTGCAGCGACAGGCGCCTCGATGGAGACTGTTTCGTTGGGATGAGTCGCTTGGCTGGCACTGATACTGTTCGTAGGGGGTGTTCGCCGTTCGGGCAGAGCCAGGTTGAATTCCGAGTCGAGATCTAGGTTCCATAGCCGACAAGCTATCGAAGACACATTTGATTCGCCGGGGACTCCGTTGGGTTGTAGACTGGCCGTGATGCTGCAAGTATTGTTGGACGAAGCATTGTTCCGGGCATTCGAAACTGATGCCGCCGCAACAGCGTTGACGATCTTGAGCTGCTGCCACCGGGTCAATGCAGCCGCGACAGCTTTGCCAAACTTTCTCGGCGTGTTTCTGCAGTCGATCAGCGAATGACTTGAAAACGGTACTTCGGAGACTTACGGTTGATGAACAAACTCAAAAACAGCATTGGGGGCTGATGCTTTCAGCACAGAGTCGAATTTCATCGAGTTACCTGCGTTGTGACATATAACAACGCTAGGGACTGGATGCTGCTGGATAGAGCGGGCGTCGAGTTGGCTGAAGGCTGCCTCGCTGTAGATGATAACATCAGCATCGGAGGAAGCGGCGCCGGCAACACTCTTCATGCCACTCAGTTGCATTCCGAACCACCTCAGTGGGAGGGATTCAATAGGAATATCTTTGCCATCAGTGGTGCTATTCGGCCCAACAGGCTTCTTGGTGAAACCAACAGCCGATACTTTGACGTCGTGAAGGATTTTGGAGTCAAAAGCGAAACGGCTATCAACCTCCTTGGCGGACTTCTGCGTCGGTGAATGGGTGAGGGGAAGAGAGACGGTCACCGTGGTGCCCCTGTTTACACGACTCTTGACGCTGATAGAGCCCCCAAGAGAGCCCACAATCTGGCGAACGAGACTGAGGCCCAGACCGGTGCCAGGCGCGAGGCGGTTTTCTTGGGAGAACGGAACAAAGAGCTTCGTGCGGAGGAATTCCTCGGTGATACCCTTGCCAGTGTCGGCGACGGTAATGACAACGTTGGCAAAGCGTTTTTGCGGCCCCTGAGCTGCGGCCTCTTGCCCGAGGGTGATCTTGATGTGTCCGTTCGATGTGTACTTCAGTGCATTACCGAAAAGGTTCATAATGATACGACGAATCGCACCAGGCTGGGTGGAAAATGCCCACGAGCAACTTGGGTCCATATCAATAATGACATGGACGTCGCCGAGGTTTGTCGGCAGGCTGTTCGAGCTGGCTCGGGTCCTGCTTAGGTCTGCCGAGTGAATAGTGTCGAGGCGTTCCTGGGCTGGGCTCATGGGACCCTGTGCACCGTGTCTCGTGAGCTGTTCGGCAACCATGTGTTGGAAGCTGTGGCCGATGAAGACGCTCTCGATGACTTCCTCGGCAAGGGCATCGAGCTGAATCTCTGACACTAGGGTCATCATGCCGTTTTCGATGCTTGTCTCGTCTTTGCTGTCGTGCGTCATGCCACGACGGCCTTTGTTCTGCCTCCGACGTGCTCTCGACGACCGTAGAAAGGTGTTGATCTTGCTGTGCGCGAGTAACTGTATTGTAGTTAGAATCGAGAAACAGGTCTAGCTCGAAAAGAACATTCTTACATGATCAATGGTATCGAGAAGCGTCTTGCCCGAAATCTCAATCGTGTGGACAACATCGACTTGGAAGGCGTCCAACTGTGTATCATGGAGCAACTCAGCAGCGGCGACGACGCCATGCAACGGCGAACGCAGCTCGTGGCTCATGGAGCCAAGAATGTCTGTTTTGGCCTTGTCGGACGCGGCAACATCGAGCCGCCGGATCTCCGCCATGGTGATCATGCCGAAAGCCCTAAGGTAGGGCAGATCAGCGTTCCTGGTAATCATGCGAGCTGAGTTCTTGCTCCAGACGAATCCGCCAGCGTGCCACCTATCTTTGTAAGGGTCCCACAGGGGCACCATGGCGATGCTTCTCGCGGCGGGAAAGAGCTTCCCAATGGTCGAAGCTTCATTCCTTCGTGAATATGGCGAGCCTTTAGGTTTGCACTTCTTGGCGTTGACCGGCTGAGAGCCATCTTCTACGCCGTCGAGTTCTTGAGACAGAGAATCCGAATCATCGCCCGATGATTCTTCCGAGTACCAGGAACCGGCTTCGTCATAACTGAAGATCTTGCCGTTCGGATAGCGCCGCATGAGTTTCTTGAGAAACTTCTCGGTGAGCGTTTTTGGCGCGTTGGGATCAACTACATGAGAAGAAGGGGGCATCGGATGGTTATACGACGTGGAACTGCCAAAGACGCGGCATGGCGCCTCCTGGTTGCTGGTCTGGCTTTGCCCCGATAAACTGTCATCGCTGCTCGAGGTGGGACCGTCTGAATCGAGCGACGTGTTGTGCGGGCTCATGGAGTCAACGAGTCCGCCGAATGAGCCGACACTGGCGTCAAGGAACATGGCTCCGTCAATGTCAAGAGACTCACGGATGATGTGTGCAGCCTTGGCAAAAATGCGATCGACCTCGACCTGGTGGGGATCAGCTGGCAACACGCTGGAAGCAGTAGTGCTCGTCGTTTCAATCGTGTCGGAAGAGCCTGAGCAGGATGCAGCGGCGCCATCGTTGGTCACAGGACTGATGCTTGGGCGGATAGGTTCCTGTGTTCCAGCCATCTCTTCAGACGTGTTCTCGGAGACCTCAACGAGGCCGTCGTCGCCGACGACAATACGGGGAGCCTCGGGCCCCTCCGGGTCCGGGCAGTCAGAAACGCCATTGGGCTCATAGGGTCGTGCTTCAGCAATGTGGTGGTCAGTTTCAGGCCACCAAGTGCCAGGCTCGTCTCTGCCCTGGATGAAGTTGCTCAGGCCGTGAACCATGCGCTCGCTGCGCACATATGTGTCGGTGACGCGTCTCGCCTCCATAAGGCCCATGATGGTCCGAGACAAATCACTCATAAATTCGACTTGCTCGTCGGTCAGGGAGTGGCGGGCTTCGGGGCCAAAGACGCAGAGAACGCCAATATTGATGCCTCTGGCGGAGCGGAGCGGCACACCAGCATAATATTTGTGACTGGGTGTGCCGCTCACGAAGGGTCGCTCGTGGAATCGCGGGTCGACAGATAAATCAGGAATCAAAGTCACGGGGAGAGGATGTTCATTCTTGTCAATCTTGGGCCCCGTGTATATCTTTTCACCCGCTCCCAGGAGAACATGCTCACAGATGCCGTACGTTCGAGGGATGGCAGTGCCGCAAAGCCACAAGTGGTCCTCAAAGTTGGGAGTGTCGGCGCGGAGGGGCAGAGTCGGCGTGGCTTCGGCGACAACGTACTGGCGGCGGCGGTCGAAGAGGGAGATGAGAGCGCGAGAGGCATCGAGGCGGATGGCGCACAACTGGGCCAGGGCGGTCAGGTTCGTATCGGAACTGGAGGAGAGAGTGTCGCGCGGCACGGGGCGATGAGGTTCGTTCAGCACGGTTTTCGAGATGAGGAAAGAGTCGTATCTGTCGGCAGGCCATGTCAGTTGACGAATGTTCGTGCATGCACATGGTCAAGGTGGGGGGAGGGGGCCAGGATGGATGATGTGACTGCCAGCAGGAGGTCGACGGGCACATACTTGAGAGTCTCCCACTCACGGGCGCCCTCGTTGACATCGGCCATATCTCCGGTCCCTAGAAGGTGGAGGATTGCGCAAAGGTCTGCGAGGGCATGAGAGCCGGTAGAGGTTTCAAGATTTGTGGTAGGTCGACCGAGCCTTGTCGTCGTTGAAGGGGGGTTGTCTCGTTCGTTTGGTGGCCTGGAGAGAGGCGCGTGGTGGAGGTCGAGGACCCAGAGACGCAGGACGAAAGCCTCGCGGGAGGCTGCAGAGCGTGAACGGCAAGGGCAACGAGCAAGACAGGGCAGGGTCAGCCGAGTCGAGCCCAGGGAGGCGAGCTACAAGCGGCAGGCGGCAAGTGGCAGTAGGCAAGCGCAGCGAACCTCAGCTAAGGTCCCTTCCAATGTACCTAATGTCTGTAAGGGGGGCGAGTCGGGTGGGCAGGGCAGGAGGAGGTTTGCTTCCGGGGTAAGTAGGTGGACAAGAGGGGGAAGGAAAGGGCCTGGCCAGACCCCTTAGACCAGAATCGAGGCAAGTTCGACCCTAGTAGCCGGGTGGGAGTGGCCTTGATTGAGAATGATCCAGAAAGTAAGAACAACGTCAACGTCAACAGGCTGCCCCAGCTGAGGCACCTATGCGATGCGATGTGATCCCTACGCTGTGATGCGGTACATCTGGCAATCGTCGATGGGGGCTTGTCCGTTGGGCATCTGCTGTAAACAAGTGCTCGATTCTTGGCGGGAACTGGTAGAGCAAGAAAGTGGCTAACCCGAGCGAGTGTCCCTCGTCCACGCAGAATGGGCAAATGTTCAGAATTGCATGCATCAGCCACGTCCCAGGGCAGATTTCCATGTAGCCACACCCAGTCCTGCCTCTCCACACCCCTGGTGCTTGTGGCTTTGCCCCCCTCTGGCAGCCGATCCCAGCACATGAACCCGATGGCACTAAAAGGCACCAGGTGGGGGCGTGCCATTACCCAGTCCGTGTCTGTCTTCCTCCCGATCCAAGAAACCTCCCCCCCCCTCCCCTTGCCCTTGGCCCCTTGGGCCCTCTGACGATCCAGCACTGCGACACGTTGCATCGAGATTTGTCCTTCAACCCATCGAGATTCAACCTCCATCCTCCGTCATCCATCATGCCCATCGTCCATCAAAACCCATGACGTCGAACCTGGCGCCGAATTGTCTCTGCTGGCACGAGTCGATCGCAAGATGGCAAAGCTCGCAACACGGCAAATCTACGGCCCCGGCCGCGCCGTCGATGACCCCGTATCGTACGCGGCACCTCGTAGCGGCCGCCGGCTTCGAGCTCGATGAAACCAACCAACAAAACGGGCCCTGCCCCCCGTTGACTCGGGTGTGGAAAATGGTAAACGGGGTCCAGTTCTGGTAGAGGCAGGGACCCAATGCCTGGTTACGCGGTGGCCCGCCTACATGCACCCCATTGCGGGACGATGCTGCACACTGCGAAGAACCACTCCAAAGGATTACTCATGAGGGGGGGGGGGCTGCATGTTCGCGATGGTGTCATCGCCCCATGATGAGTCTTTTGTCTCTGGCTTCAGAAGAATCACCAAAAAAAAAAAAAAAAGACAATCAGGGTTCATCGTCATCTGCTCAACCACGGCCCCAGAGCTCTGATACCTGTCGATTGAGTTGAGTCGCAAACGCCAAGGAAAAGAGGAAAGAAAAAGAGACAAGTACGCTTCTTTTGGCGCAACCGTCTCACAACTACCCAATGACCAGCTCTGTCCCCGCTCAAACCTTCTCCGAAGTGCCGGATGGGATCCTGGACCTCCTCATCCTCCATCTGCCGTACTCGTTGAGTCTCGTACGCCGCCTCCAGTACACGGCTGCTTCTCCCACTGGCAAAACGCCCAGTGCTCGCATCGTCGTGGCCTCTGACAGTCCGCCAGCAGAGCCCACAAGGCATGATGCCGGCTTCGATGTCACAGCCCGCCATTTCACCGTCTCCTACTTCGACCCATCCCGCGGCCCTGAAACCCAGACTTGGATTTACTCGACGCTCGAAGACGCCCACGCCCGCGACTCATCCGTCGTCCTGGCCCAAGACGAGACGGCGCACTGCGAGAAGCAGATCATGGCCGTTGTGTCCGAGGTCAAGCGTATCGCTCGCGAATACGATGCAGTGGAGCCCCTCGCCTTCCCTCGCCAGGTCATTGTCGGCACCCTCCATCATGCCGTACGCGCCGTCATGCGCAAGCACGATGTTTCCCTGACCCATCGCCACGATTACCAGAAGATCATCTTTCCGTTCGATAAGCTGCCCTCGGCTGATGCAGCGCTGCCCGCGGGCCTGAGCTTCGAGACCACAACGCTGGAGGATTGTCACATCGTCAAGTCACGGACGGACATTCCGCGCAAAGTGTAAGGCTGCCCACCTGACGATCCTATAAAATGGACATGGGGGCACCAGCTGACAATCGCCAGAACGACCTTGTTCACGTTACCGAGCATAACCATCAAGCAAGCAGACGGGACGCCCGTCGCATGGGCCTTTTTAGGTATGTTCACTCTCGAGGCCAATAATTTTTAGCCGCCAGAGCATCCCGCCACAGACGACGACAGGCCCTGACGGCTCCATGTGCAGTCTCCACTGCGAAGAGCAACACCGACGCAAGGGTTTGGCTCGCGCCGTGGCCGCCAAGGTCATGCGCGAGAGGACACGCTTGTTCGGTAGCGAGCCGTGGTCCTCGTCCGAGGTGGCGCCAACGAACGTGAGCAGCCACGCCATGTGCAAGAGCCTCAACGGAGAGATCAAGTGGGATGTTAGCTGGTGAGTTCTCTTTCGTTCTAATTGTGTACTTTGCTGACACTCCCAGGACGCTCCTTGGGATAGAGGAGAATGGTTCTTAGATGAATGATGCTGCCTGTCGGTGGCGGCTGAACATTTGACAGCGGTGTACGTTTCGTGACAGTGGAATCAGGGACTGCTAGGGAAACCGGGCAGGGCAGAAAGGTGTGGCTTAGCGATGAGGTGATGAGGGGTGGCTGATCAGGGAAACGGACATTAGCTAGACTCGCTGCGAGGATCTCCAAGGTGCTCACATCATCAATCCTACACCACACGTTCAAGGACCTATATTTTTCTCGAATGACTGTTTCATTGCCCTGATCAGATGAGGTCTTCACGGGCCCTACTTCACTAGGAATGGTCCGACACTGTCGTCTTGCTCTGTGATACAGAAAGAAGCTGGATGCTCTCACAGGGGGTCATTAAGAAGCCAAAAAGACTCTTCACGTTCAACAGGCACCATCCGCGGTAGACTCGCTCGCATGTGAAGCTTCCCTGCAGGCTGTGATCAGTGGACCACTGGCAAGATATCCCATCCGGGGATAACATCAGACCAAGCTCACGTCAAGATTCGAGAAAGTTCTAGAATGCAGTCCAGAATGCAGTCCAGAAGAACGATACAATTATTCTCAACACCCCATGTTGCTACATCAAAGCCATCTCAGCCCTACGAACTCCGAGTGGGCGATCACCCTCGGTGGGATCCCACCGACCGACCCCTCCAGGAGATCTCGATACGCCCGGGCTCTCGCGCTCGACCTATCACGTCCGACCGGCCAAGCCGCCGGCTGGTCATGAGACGTCAAGACCACTGCCCATGCCATCATGACGATGCAGCAGTTACTGCCAGGGCATTTTGTGCACGAATCTTTCCCTGGCAGGATGTGGGTGCCCTGTGGAGAATGGCTGAAGTCATTCTGTTGGGGACTCGGCTGGAGACGCAGGAGGTTGTTCTCCGAGGGTGAGCGTGTCGCACGGGTGATGTCACTTTTTCTGGGCCTTGCGATGCTTTTATATATACTGATCGTATGCTGTCGCGGGTGTGTTTCTTCTGGCTGAATGGGACCAGACTCGCAAGATCTGATTGCATCGACAAGATTTTGCGCAACGAGCCCAACAAGCGATTATCAGAAACAAGACTTGAATCCAACATGGCACCTTCTCACGGACAAAAGGTGAGCCCGCTCGCCACAGATGCCGGGTGCACGAGACGAGACTAACAGCGCACAAGGTCGACCTCGGCAAGGACGCTCCCGTCACCCAAGAGTCCACAGGCCCCGTCCCCTCGGGCTCCCTCGCCAACGAGTCGGCCAAGAAGGGCGGCGACTTTGCCGAGAACAGCGGCGTCCAGGCAGGCTCCACCGCCGGGTCTACATCGTCCGGCACAGACTCCAACAACAGCACGTCTTCCGCCACCAAGGCCTCGTCCGGCGGCGGCGGCAACGGAGACACAAAGTCCTCCGGCGCCCAGGGCGGCACGGCGCCGTCGTACGTCGAGAATCAGTACATCCGCGACGGCAGCGGCCCGCACGGCAAGAACCTGCAGGAGGGCATCGACTACAAGAACACCAAGGACGGCCTGAAGGCGGCGCTCGAGGCGGAGGCGGGCTCGGAGGATGACCCTGCGCGGGCGGCGGAGCAGCAGTTTTTGCAGTCGCAGACGAGGGCGGGGCGCGATGCTGGGCCCAAGGAGTTTGAGGTGGGTAGCAAGACTACGTTTGACAGTTTGGAGGAGAAGCAGGCTTGAGGTGCTTGGTTTGAGATTGTGTCATGATGTATGAATGAATCAGTGTTGCACTGTCTTGTTCGTGACATGTGACATGGGTACATGGGTACAGCTGATCATGTCAACGATGCCTGCTTGGTCTGTCATGTGTAAAAGGCGCCATGGATGAAGCATGAACATGGCGATTTGATTTATATTCGGCTGGGAACACGTATGATGCAGGCGCCTGTTTCATTCTCAATTGAAGACCGGTTTCGTACTATCTAGTCCTCACACCCGACCAAATACGATGCAACATCTGGCGACGCAGCTATTCGATATCGGCATCATTGCTTCGGAATTTTTCTTTGGAATTTTCACGGGGTAGGCAACCGAAGAAATTCCAGCCCAAACAGCACTTTCATGAGTTGTCATGTTCCTCGACTGATTTGATGGCTTGTTCCTACGATAATTCAACCACGAACATGCGGCTACACCGTGATATGAAAATGTCATTTTCCAAAAATAAAGAGTGGACTCGACAGGAACTTTTCGCTCACTTCTTGGAGGTGCTTTCCACCATGGCACGGAGATGAGTGATGAAACGCATCAAACCCGAGACTCAAATTACCAACATGGGATACCACTTAAAGCCTGTTCAAAATACAACCAGCCAGATACTACTCCAGGCCAAAAAGCAATTCAGCCGTGAAGCTTGCCAAAATATGCATACAGTCTAATCAAGTTCTATGACCTGTGCTCAGCCGTCCAAGACGGAACGGTGAATGTCATCGATGACGTAGCTCATATCCGCGATCCAGCCAAACATCAACAGCCTCCAAAACCCATCCGTCAACACCTCACATCCCTAAAACACATAAACTCCAGAATCGCCTGTATCCATGTTCCTTAGGTTGCCGGCCATATCGATTGCCAGAAACGTCACAAGCACAATCACCCTCGCCCGCACCACTCGCCCACCCCAGTGCCAACCTCTCCACACCACAGCCATGAGCTGGATGGACTCGTGGTCGCGGGCCTCCAAGTCGCAAGCGACGCCGGCGCCCTTCTACCTCCTCCCCCACGGCGACGCGACCCCCTACTGCCGCACCTGCGGCCGCGTCATCTCGAGCCGCAAATCCGCCGCCGCCGCCCCCAAGAAGCCCGACGCCAACAAGACGGACCCCCCCAAGTACTGCTCCTCCCGCTGTCGCGGCCACAAGCCCGGCCGTCTCGACCGCGAGATCGAGGCCGCCTTTGTCCGCTTCCTGCAGCGCGACGAGGAGCTCGCTGAGCCCGGCGCGCCTCGCAAGGCGACCAAGGGCGACGCCCGTCTGCTGGTGCCGTGCGACGCCGTCGAGAACCGCGTCTTCGGCAGCAGGGCGGATCCCGAAAAGGTCTTTGGCAGGAGGAAGAACCGGGCGTCGAGGGTCATTGCGGCGAGGGACGGCGAGGAGGAGGACGGCGAGGGCGTCGACATGCGGGAGCTGCGCGTCGGCGACGAGATGGATCCCGGCGAGGCGATTATTGACGAGATGCTCGGCCTCGGCAGGACGCCGTCTGCCGAGGTGGACCCCGGCGTGCAGGCCGGGTTGTCTGTGAGGAGCGGCACGCGCGTGAGGCCGCCGCAGACGAGGTCGCAAGTCAACGGCAGCGTGGGCGGGGAGAAGGGCAGAGCGGAGAGGGCGGAGGAGACGGAGGAGATGCGGGAGAAGAGAAATGAAGGCCAGAAGCGCGCCCACGAGAGGGAGCTCGTGAGGTGCGCGGCGCGCAGGGGGGTTGTGTTTGGGTTTGCTGTCGATGGCCAGGAGGAGAGGAGGAAGTGTGAGGCTGTCATGCAGGGCAAGGTCGTCGAGCCGAGCTTTGCAAAGGGCGACTGGGCAGTTCGATGGCGTGAAGATTAGGTTCATCGACCATCATCTGCCGTCCGCTCTAATGAGAACAGATGCACTGAGTCTCGAGACCGTGACGATAAGAACCACACATATTGGAGGATTTGACCTACGTGGGACCTGTGTCCGTGTGGAAGAGTAGCTTGTTGTTGTGTTCCCGCTATACATGGCACGAAGTGGACGAAACCGCCAACTCGATTGTGGTGATCCCAATGAGAGATTGCCAACCAGTTGCTTCCCTGGTATGTCATGGCCTGGCCCTTGCTGTTCTGACGGAAAAAAAGACTGAGAAATGCAGACTCCATCTTTGGCAAAGTATCGCCAGAAGATTTTGGCTCGTGGAGGACGCTCGTGGAGGACGGCATCGGGCCAAGCCTGCTGAGGAAATGGTGCTGTACAGCAGCAGATGATTATCCTTACTTTTACCTCGGTGGCCGGTACCTGGAACCATCATTTAAGTGCTTCTGGATTGCCCGTAGCCATGAGATGGTAACCAAGATCGGGCCTGATCACAAATCCGAGTGGTCAACCCGAAAATACGCATACCATAATCCGTCTTACCCGTTAGCCCCCTGAGTCTCTCCGCATGAGGCCTCGGCCTTCGCCTTATCACCAACGGACATGACTGCCTCTTCCGAGCGACGGCGAGTCGGGCCTTGCAGCAAGCAACCTGCTGGACCAAAGATGGCGGCCCGTTGTGGTTGAACATTCTGCCGCCGTCGGCCAAACCCCCCCAGAAACTCCCACGATTCCAGGATCCCACCCTGCAGGTTTCTCCGCATTCCGTAATTGCCGATGCATGGTGGCGTGCACCCCTTGGCCTTTATTAGCGGCTTGTGGGGGGGATCCGGGCTCACCATCGGCCCGCCGTTCATCTTCAAAGCACTCTTTTGCGTTGACGACTGAACAATGACGAACCACATGTGGTATGGACCTTGCCGCTCGTCATTGCCGGCCCACACGCTACTCAGAAGATCGCCGAGCGTAACCCTATGATGCCAGGAACTGGGGAAACAGTCGAGGTGACTGCTTGACATCGCCTGGATCTCGGCCATTGTTGCCCCTGTTCGCAGAGACTGCCCCCTTCGCAGGGATTGCCCCCTTCGCAGAGATTGCCCCCTTCGCAGAGAGCCACAGTACAAAAGGAGGAGTTTGTCATCGACATATCGTGAGGTTTCCGACATGGCCTTAGATTCCTGTCTCTTGCCAAACTCGCTTTCCGAAATGAAGTCTCTCCATCTCCCCGCCGCCATGTTGCTGGTGCCGGCGGCCCAGTTCGTCATGGGGGCTTGTGCCAGCAGATGCAGCACCCTCGTCGACTCGCTGGACCTCGAGGACACCACCGTGTGGTTCTCCAGTCACATCGCTGCCGGCACGAACTTGACGTTCCCGGGAAACCATCCGACCTGTAACCGCGCCAGCCAGGTTGTTGACGTTGACATCTGCCGTGTCTCCATGCTCACCACCACCGGACCGACGAGCAACACGAGCATCGAGGTCTGGCTGCCGGCCAACTGGACTGGTCGCTCC